ATTAATATTTAATAAAAAAATAATTGCAATAACAAAGAGAAGAAAACGATGGGGGTTCAAGGCTTCAAGTTGGATAAAGATTCAACAGCTACACCAAAAAAACCCGTTAACTTTAAGCACCTCCACCAACAATAATTAGTTGAGATCAAAGACAGCAACACCAACAACAAGAAGCGGCAATTAGCTCCCAAGAGAAGTTCCAACAAAGACAGTGTTAGGGAGTACGCTTGTAGCCTGGTGTATGCATAGTGTCCTTAGTTGTCAGGTTACAAATTTTTTGAGGACTAAGTAGGTTATTCGCTTTTCCTAGGTGACTGTAAAGGGAATTGCGAACCCTATATATATTTGCAGCCATGCTGCTCGTCGATGTATGCTGCAGTGAAAAGAACAGAACCCTAATAACATAAACCAAAAGCTCCTTGTGTGAGCTCTCCGTGGAATAGTCTCGTTCATATGAACGAGGATACCACGTAAATTTTCGTGTCGTTGTTTTCGTTCTTCGAGTTTTAGCATGGTATCAGAGCTGTGATCCGATCCCTTCCGCGTTTTTGTTGTGTTTGGCGCTATGGTCTCCGACGATGAGAAGATTAAGTCGGCCGAGACGGAATCGTCGACCAAAGTTCTTTATGGGGGTGGCGGAGATGGTAGCTTTCCTCCAGCCTTTATTCTTCACAATTCTGACAACCCTAATCAACTGTTTGTGGGTGATTTACCCACGGACACCAACTACAGTGAGTGGCTTGGTGACATACAAGATTCGTTCATTGCAAAGAACAAAATAGGGTTTGTGGATGGCTCCATTCCACAACCAATGACTGGCGCGCTTCGCGAACAGTGTAAGAGATGCGACGCCATGGTTAAAGGCTGGTTAAAATCAGCCATGAGCAAGGAAATCCGAGCCAGTGTTCGGTTTGCGCGCACCACGCGTGAGATTTGGGTTGACCTTGAGGCCCGCTTCGGCCAAGGCAGCTCTGCGCGCTTGTATGAGCTGCGACGCAGCATCGCCCTCCTGCAACAAGAGAAGGCCAATATTTCCAGTTTCTACACAAAGCTTCGCGGCTTCTGGCATGAGATTCAATCCATCTCACCTACACCTGATTGTACTTGCGGTGGCTGCAACTGCGAAGTTAAATGGCAGTACCGAGCTACCAAGAACAGTGAGCAGCTGTTTGACTTTCTGATGGGACTCGACGATGCTTTTTCCACCATTAAGACCCAAATCTTAGCGATGCGGCCACACCTAGCCTCGCTGAAGCGTATCAACTAGTCAGTAATGACGAGCAACATTGAAAAATTGCGCAGTCACGTTGTCCCTCGATCGAAGCGGCTGCCTTCCATGCTCGTGATGACAGGCCAAACTCCCGCGGCGCTTCTGGTTGCTCGGGTGATCCCTCCAACAAGTCCCGCTACCTTTGTGATCATTTCGGGAAGACCGGTCATACCAAAGACCGGTGTTTTGAGCTTATTGGCTGGCCCGAACGCGGTTCTGGTAGAGTCGATAAAGGCGACAACAAGGGTAATCGTCGTAAGAGTGCTGACCGAGGGAGAGGCGCACCTCATGCTACCCAGGTTGGGGTCAGGATAGCCCCATTCCCGGCCTCAATGCTTCGCAGTTTGAGCAGCTGAAAACTCTTTTCGGCGGAGATGTGAAAGCCTCTGCGCGCTCCGCTGACACGACTCCATGTAAACTATTTTCAGTTCCCAATTCTCATGATGAATGGCTCATCGATACAGGTTGTAACGAGCATATCGTTACCCATTCCCAGCTTGTTAGTGGGTCACAGGAGGAACCTGGTTTGCAGGTGCGGGTTCCCGATGGTTCAACGGTCAGTGTTCAGCGTATTGGGTCTGTTAAGTTATCTAATGGTATGGTTTTACCTCGAGTGCTCTTGGTTCCGGAATGTAAATGCAACCTCCTCTCTGTTAGCCAGCTTACTCGGGATTTTTCTCTAGCTTTGATCTTCTTGAGCGACTTCTGTGTGATACAGGACTTACGCTCAAAGACGATTATTGGGATGGGGACACAGAGTGATGGTCTTTATTAGAAGCGTCTCTTTCATGGAGTTCGGCAGGAGATGGTGCACGCGGCTAAAGGCGTGGGATCCTCTGTGTTGTGGCACTCCCGCTTAGGACATCCATCGGTGGAGAAGCTTGACTTGTTGCATTTACTTCCTAGCATTCATAGGTCGAATAAGCTACTTTGCTCATCCTGTTTGCGAGCAAAACAGCCTCGTTTGGTTTTTCCTTCTAGTTCTATTCGCAATACTTGTCCTTTTGAGGTCATTCACATTGACATTTGGGGTGGATATCGAGTTCCGTCCTTGAGTGGTGCTCAGTATTTTCTTACTGTTGTTGACGATTTCACCCGTGGCGTATGGATTTATTTACTTAAGTTTAAATCTGAAGCAGCCAGGTACTTGAAACTGTTTGTTCGCCAAGCTTCTCGGCAGTTTGGCGCGTCTGTTCAGCTTATTCAGACCGACAATAGATCCGAGTTTCAGTCTACTGACATGCTTGATTTCTATGTGGATGAGGGCATCCGTCTACAAACTTCTTGTGTTGACACGCCTCAGCAAAATGGCGTGGTCAAACGCAAGCACAAGCATATTCTTGACACAGCTCGTGCATTGCGGTTTCAGGCAAATCTTCCCAAGAAGTTCTGGGGCGAATGTGTTCTTACCGCCTGTTATTTGATCAACCGTCTCCCTCACAGTGCTCTTGGGAACCAGACTCCCTACGAACGCTTGTTTGGTCGCCGTCACCGTTACTCTCATTTGCGATCGTTTGGTTGTCTGGCATACTCTAAGGACACTCGTTCTCATATGGATAAGTTTGGTGAACGTGGCCGTCCTTGTGTGTTTCTTGGTTATCCTGCTTCTCGAAAGGGCTATCGTGTGCTTGGGCTTTCTTCCGGACGGATTTTCACATCTCGGGATGTTGTGTTTGACGAACAGGTTTTCCCATTTCACACTTTGGCTAGTGACATTCAACCTTTTTCCTTGCCACACCCTACCGCTGCTTCACCCGCTCTCGCCAATGATGATGAGGCATCTATTGCTGCCGAGGGTCCTATTGCTGGTGACATAGAGGATTCTGTTCCTCAGTCCTCTCCTGCACCTCCTGCCCAATCGCCTAATCCCGAGTCACCTCCACCTGGGCTCGCTTCCTCGCCCACGTAGTCTACTTCTCCAGGCCCCTCTTCGCCCGTCCCGACGCCGGTACCTGCTGTTCCTCTTCGACGTGGCGATCGAGTTCGACAACCCTCTGTGCGTCTCCGAGGTTATGATACTCACTTCCCCTCTTCGCACACTACCGCTGTCCAGTATCCTCTCTCAGCTTATGTTACTTTTGAGCGTCTTTCCGCTAATCATCGTGTTTTTGTGGCAGCGATGGATGCCTCGGTTGAACCCCAGTTTTTCCGCGATGCCGTTAAGCTCGCCTGTTGGCGCGAGGCCATGCAACGTGAGATTGCTGCCTTGGAAGCAAATGGCACTTGGGATTTTGAAGAATTGCTCCCGGGAAGAAAGCAGTTGCCTGCAAATGGGTCTACAAAATCAAGTACAATCCCGATGGCAGTGTCGAACGCTACAAAGCGCGTTTAGTTTCCAAAGGTTTTACACAGGTCGAGGGCGTGAACTATCACGACACCTTTGCTCCGGTCGCCAAGTTAGTGACCGTCCGTACTGTTCTCGTTGTCGCTGCACATCGGGGGTGGCATCTCCATCAAATGGACGTCAACAACGCCTTCCTCCATGGAGATCTCCACGAGGAAGTATATATGAAGCTCCCTCCGGGATTTGCTCGACCGGGGACAATCGGGTTTGTCGCCCTCTATGGCCTCAAGCAGGCCTCTCGGAATTGGTACATGAAGTTTACTCAGGCACTCCAGGAATTCGGCTTTCACCAGTCTCAAGCTGATCACTCCCTTCTCACCTACCGTCGAGATGGTCACTTTGTCTTTGCACTTATCTATGTGGATGACATTATTCTGGGTGGTGATGATTTACCCACCATTCAGCGCGTTAAAGAGTTCTTGCATGATCGGTTTAGCATCAAGGACTTGGGCACCCTGAAGTATTTTTTGGGCATCGAGGTGGCTCGCTCTCGCAGTGGGTTAGTGCTTTCTCAGAGAAAATATGATATTGACATTTTACAGGATGCTGGGGCTCTCGCTGTTAAGCCTTCTACCTTTCCCATCGAGCAGAATCACCATCTTACTCGGATTGAAGGTCCTGCAGCTAAGGACCCGTCCGGTTTTCGTCGCCTTGTTGGTGGTTTACAGTACCTGACTGTCACCCGACCTGACATTGTCTATGCCGTTAATATCTTGAGTCAGGCCGTTCACTCCCCTCGTCAACAAAACGAAAATGCAGCTTACCACGTACTTCGGTACCTTAAGGGTGCACCCGCGCGTGGTCTCCGGTTTTCCACAACAGTATGCCTCCAGTTGACTGCTTACTGTGATGCGGACTGGGGCGGTTGTCAGCGTACCCGTCGCTCTACCACATGATATTTCATCAGCTTGGGTGGTAGCCCGATCTCTTGGCGGACGAAGAAGCAGTCAGTTGTTGCTCGGTCTTCCGCCGAGGCAGAGTATCGAGCCATGGCTAGTACTGTCATTGAGCTCGTTTGGCTCCGGTGGCTTCTTGATGAATTGGGCGTTTCCAGTTCAGCTCCGACTCCTTTACATTGCGACAACCAGGCGGCTCTTCACATTGCTGCCAATCTAGTTTTCCATGAGCGGACGAAGCACGTTGAGATGGATTGCTACTTCGTTCGAGAGCGTGTTCAATTTGGTGATATCGCTCCCCAAAAGATTTCCTCTCACGAACAGGTTGCCGACTTGTTTACAAAGGGTCTCGGTGTGGAGCCGTTTCGTTTTCTGACTTCCAAGCTTGGCCTTCATGATATTCATGCCTCCGCTTGAGGGGGCGTGTTAGGGAGTACGCTTGTAGCCTGGTGTATGCGTACTGTCCTTAGTTGTCAGGTTACAAATTGTTTGAGGACTAAGTAGGTTATTCGCTTTTCCTAGGTGACTGTAAAGGGAATTGTGAACCCTATATATATTTGCAGCCATGCTGCTCGTCGATGTATGCTGCAGTGAAAAGAAAAGAGGACGGAAGAGGAAGAAGGATTCGGATGCTAGCTCTTTGCGTTGCACAAATCATCCAGCTGACTCAGAATTGGGTCATAAAATCGATGGAGAGACAATCTTGTGGCTTCTTCAGCAATCGGAGCTGTCAATCGTGGCGGCTACCGGAATGGGGAACAGGGGAGCTGTGTTTTCGCCAGAAGCAACTGGGCGGCGGCGGATTTGGCGAACGAGAATCAGAGACCACATCCAACGCCAACCCAACAAATAGCCTTACTCTATTAATCTGGCGATAGCACAAAAACAACACAAGAACAAAACGAATCAGAACCCATTGCCGCAAATCATCAAACACCTTAGGAGCATGATGCATGAAGATCGAAAACATCAATTCAAGAAACAGAAAGGAAAATTAATGGAAGTTTCTTACCAAATTGGGTCTTTTCGCGAGCTCGTGAACGGGAAAGCTATCGGACCGGACGAGTTCAGATTGGGCGGAGGTGGTGAGGGTGAGCTGTAGGCGAGAAGTCTGCATCTACGACAGGAATTTTGATCGAAGAGGTTGAGAGGGGCTCTGTTCCTTGTGGGTACGCAAAATCTCAGCTCCCTGCAAGGCACCAACTCCCCGCCGCCACAAAACGTCCCCTGAGAAGTCACGATCACCAAAAGCTCCATTTTAGCCCGAATCCGAAGCTTTGAAAAATGTAAACCCGCGAGAGAAGGAATTGATTGATCGACGATGATAATGGATTGGAAGGTGTGGAAGACCGGGAGCGGGGGCCATGGAGTTGTAACTATCCCTGGATCAGAATGGCTCAAGCGAGATGACAAAAATAAGGATTTTTTTTTCAATTTTGCATTTTTTGATATTGTAATTATTATTTATTTTTTAATTTATTGTGATAATGAAGTGGAATTTTTTAAATAATAATTTTTATTTTTACATTTTTTTAATGGGCACGTCACTTATTTAACGGTCAACTCTCAGAGTTGACTGCCACGTCAGATAAAGTTAATGGAGACTAACGGAGAGTGACCGAACTTGAACGGTTAGGGGTGTTCAAACGGTGTGGTTACCATGGTAACCGTTTTAACCAGTACTATTTGGATAATTTGGTTTGGTTAATTTGGATAATTGGTTTGGTTTGGTTAAAGTTTTTAGCTTGTTTGGTTTAGGTGGTTTGGTTTGGTTTCAGGCACTCCTAGCCAGCCAAACCAAATTAACCAGATAAATAATTAGCTATATATCTAATATATACACATACTTAATACTTTGAATAACCACTCAAGAGTTAAACTTTCATCCTTTTAGACTCATAAAATATAAAGCTTGATATCGTTCCTATAATGTATATTTGTATATGTAGAGTGTAGACCACAACATATGAACGCCTAATTTAGATAGATCTCATACATTATGTTGGATGAAAACTTGAAAGCAAGGTCCTTTTCAGCCTATCAAAATTGCTAAAAGACTAAGTCAATTCAAACAAACACAACAATTCACTAACCCATACCATTGTGATAAATTTTTGTTAGGTGAATACTTCTATACTAACCGTACAACTATAACTATGTGTTGATTGTTATGTTTTATTCATTATATTTTTTATGAGAATGTTTTATTCATTATATAAATTGTGAATTGATAATTTAACCGAAAATTTTCTCACTCAATGATAATATGATTTTATATTGGTTAATCTGGTTAACCAATTAACCAAACCGATTAAACTTTAGTTTGATTAATTTGGTTGTTGTATTAGTTTGGACGGGTTGGTTATGATATTGTATTTCTTGGTTAATGAAATTTAGCCTTATTTGGTTTGGTAATAACCATGGTAACCATTTGAACACCCCTATGAACGGTTATACTAATCTTAGTGACTACGGATGAAATAAATTAATTTCAGTGGCAAACGTGAACTTTTTAAGCAATTCTAGTGACCAAACTTGCAATTTACCCCTATAGATTATTTGATCAATCGTTAGATTAAGCCTCTGTTGGGACAGAAATCTCCATATCAAGTTCTTTACATGAAATCTCCTAATTATTCGTCGTTCGAGTGTTTGGTTGTACCTGCTTTGTTCTTTTGCCCAAGAAAGAGCGTCATAAGTTGGCTCCCAAGGTGACACGTTGTGTATTTGGTGGTTATAATGATAAGTACAAAGGTTATTTGTGTTATGATCCAGTTGGCAGGCGTATGGGAATTGCTTGTCAAGTTAAGTGTATTGACTCGCACTGATGAGTCTATACCTACGACTCAAGGGTTGCTCGTAACTCACGAACGGGAGAACGACTTGGGCGTTGATAAACCTTTAGTTTTATTACTCGATACCCGGACTAATGCCGAACTTACATATATATAATACGTAACCCTAATAATTTCCCTACCCTAGTCGAACTCGGCATCCGCCGAGCTAACCCCAGCCCATGCAGTTACGTAAACCCAAAAACCCCCAAAGCCCATGACACCCTCCTAGCCTACCACGCCTACACGCCGGTCACCCATCATTCCACCCCTCTCGAAAATCAACCTTGTCCCCTAGGTTGACCCTCGCCATCCTCTTCCTCGAAGAGACACATAACCTTCGCCGTTCCACACTTATGGCCAATGGTGAACCGTTCATCGCAATTAAAACACAGACCTTGACCGTGACGTAGTTGCTGCTCTTCCCAGCTAAGCCATTTTCTGGGACCCGGACCCCGCGACAGCCCTGAATTTCCTCCAAGAGCCGTGTTAGCAGCTCTCGGCGGCACCCCACTGCCGTACCCTTGGCCAGCCAAGGATGGTGCTCGCCATGGCGGATAGGGATGGCAATGGGTCGGGTTGGGTCGGGTTTTGCCAAACCCAAACCCAAACCCATGGGTTTATCCGTGAAAAAAACCCGGGGTAAAACCCATTGGGTTTGAAAAACTCAAACCCAACCCAACCCGCTGGGTATCCGTGGGTTCATGGGTACCCACGGGTTTTTGTCGTAAAAAATTTACAATAACAAATTTCTATCAAAATTAAAGTCAAATATCAATCTCTCAATACAAATTATCCATATATAAAACACCATTTTAGAAAATTCAAGCAAATCACAAATTAACTATACAAATTGTTCAACACCAATCTAGAAAACTCAATAAAATTGAAGCAAATCACAAATTATCCATAAATAACATGATTAATTGAAAGCTTCTTCCTTTCAATTAAGTTTCTTCACTCTCCACTCGATGACATCAACTTCATTCTACACAATTAGAAAAAAAAAAATTAGACATGTCTCCACAAACTAAGATTAGTTGTTTTGAATATTAGATATACGAGAAAATTAACTATATGAGTGTGGGCGGGTACCCATGGGTCGGGTTTACCTAAACCCAAACCCAACCCAACCCGGTGAATAGTGAACGGGCTTAAACCCAAACCCGGCCCAAAACCCGTCAACACGGATTTTACCCGCGTTGACCGGGTTGGGTCGGGTGGGTACCCGTGGGTTTGGGTTTTGTTGACATCCCTAATGGCGGATGGTGGCGCTGCAGTTGATCGTTTTTCATACTTGCGAGGCTAATTTCATCGCGCAATGTTGTTGGAAGGAACATCCTAATTTCATAAGCAATTTCGGACTTCAATCCTCCCAAATATGTGCCCACCAGGGCTTGCTGCGTCTCCTACGCATCGATTGGCCAGTTTTTCGAACTCACGCTGGTAATCGCGCAATGTTCCTATTTGTCGGATCCGAGATAGGGCCTTGTCACAACTCTCACCTTCTGTTGGGCTGAACCTTGCCCACAACTCCTGTGCAAACAGCTCCCATGAAATCGACTCCCCGGTGTCCTTGTAAGTCCTTTTCAGCCACTGCCACCATTGGTTAGCCTCGCCCTCTAGATTAAAGGAAGCCAACGACACCCGTTGATCTGCCGACACCTCCTGAAATTCGAAATTTTTTTTGACCCTCGGAAACCAAAACCCCGGATCGTCCCCGGAGAACTTGCGAAACTCTAGGCGGGCTAGCTTCTCCAGGAAGGTACCCCGTCAACACTCCTTGATTCACCACCGTTGCCCCGTTCGCCACCGCAACTCCCGCATTCATCGCCGTTGCTTCCCTTGACAGCACTCCCGAGGCGCCGATCCGGCCCCTCCACCGTGGTCTCCTTGGTGGCGCTCTTCTCCTCCTCTCTCTCTTCCTCCCCGCTCGTCTCCAGAACCCCCTTCTCCTTCGCGCCAGAGCGCCCCATCACCTCCATTTGCTGGGCGTGCGGGACCTTCAGCTGGTCCAAGACGTCCTGCAATAGCGTCTCCACCCCCGTCATGGGCAGGGAGAGATCCACAACGGCCGCGCTGAGCTGCGCCTGCACGCCCTCCAACGCGGTACACCGCTCGCCTGCTGTACCCACCTTGGTCGAGATACTCACGCCAGGCTCTGATACCAATTTGATGGAAACGTAACCCACGTTCCAAGGGTTTGCTCGAAACTCACGAGCGAGAGAACGACATAAGTGTCGAAAGACTTTTAGGTTTGTTATTGATTGATTATTCGGACTAATGCCGTAGTTACAATATATAGGCGACTAAACCTAATACGTAACCGTAGCTAACCCGAACCCTACGCCATCCTAGCCCACTCGACAACTACTCAAACATAAAGACACCAACATAATAACCTATGTTGGTCCATGCACTAATCACTAATAGCCCACATACGTAACCCTACTAACAACTCTAACCAATGAACTAATTACGTAAACCTACTAAGCCCATATACTAATACCTATCATGGGTCGACCTCCTAACCTCCGACGTGTACCCATCATTCCTTCCCCTCGAAATCAACCTTGTCCCCAAGGTTGACAGTCGACGAATCGCGGAGGACGACGACGATAACAACCGCAGCTCTTACAATGACAGAAGTTGCGTCGCCTCTGAAACTTCCAGCTCGCAGCATAGATCCCGACCTTCATTCTCGTATGGGTTGCAGCAAGGAACATTGTGCACCTTGTTTGGAGTCCGAACATGGCAGCTTCCTTGAAATAGCTAGTTTTAGGCGGATCAAAAGCAATCCTGAAAAATCTCCACAATCACCCTCGTCCTGGTCCAAAGAAAGAGTATGCCCTCCAATTATTGGAGGATAACTTTTCCACCTTCCTTGGACGCTTCTTTCTCACAATTTCCATCCCCAACCTGCAAATTGAGCTATCGTGACTCAGTTTTGAATGGAGCCTCTTCGTGCGGCACCAAAACTTCCACGCTGCCCATAGTCGCTTCGTCTTTCACGGTTTGTACTCCAATCGTGAACGCTTCCTTGAGCTGAACGCCAACTACGAACTCCTCCTTCTCGGAGCTTCGGAATCGATAGTTGAGAGCCTCGCCGAGGTGGTGACCACCACGGTGTGCACTGTTTCCTTCCCATCGTTTCCAGATCGTTGGGTGAGAGCCTCACATTGGTGATAATCACCATTGCGCACTGTTTCCTTCCCATCGATCTTATTGACGGAGATCTCCCTCTCCTCTGCCGCCTGGGTTACATTGGCGTCGACGCAGGCCACGTTGCAGTCGCTTCGCTTCCCGTCGATGACGGTCACACACTTGATTTGGGTGGTATACTCCTCCCACACCTGTTCCTGCGAAAACTGATGGTGGGGCAAAGAATAACGACGACAAAAATTGTCATACCATTCTTTCTCCTCGAGAAAATCAAGATACTCTTGTTCTTTTATCATATCATGGATCAATTGATATGAACTTGCCATATACTGAATCCGGATGTCGCAAAAATCTGGCTCTGATACCAATTTGATGAGTCGATACCCACAACGCAAGGGTTGCTTGTAACTCACGAACGAGAGAATGTCTTTGGCGTCGATAAACCTTTAGTTTTATTATTCGATACCCAGACTAATGTCGAACTTACATATATATATGGCGAGTTCTACGGTACCCCGAGTGAAATCCGGTGTATCGCATACCTTGAGTATGAAAACGCTATCCAGGCCTTGAATTGATTGATCTTTTGTACATGATATTATACTCTAACCCTTAAATATCAAAATCTAGGTCTTAGTTCCCTAAAGCTTATACTCCAATATCAATTTAATTAGAAACAATAATCGGCGGCTATGATTCGTCCAAATATAGGCAAAAAAAAAGAATGCTCCATCTTAGGGTATATAGTTTATGATTTAGATAATTAGGACCTAGGGTTCACTCAATAAGGATTATGGTATAGTATCAAGCCCAATTTTTTTTCTATTTCGAGGTCTAGATAGTGTTTTCACACTCAAGGTATACGGTACCCTGGATTTCACCCGGGGTACCATAGAAGCCACCATATATATATATATAT